GGCGGAGAGAAGAGAGGGGCGGAGAGAAGAGAGGGGCGGAGAGAAGAGAGGGGCAGAGAGAAGAGAGGGGCAGAGAGAAGAGAGGGGCGGAGAGAAGAGAGGGGCGGAGAGAAGAGAGGGGTGGAGAGAAGGGGTGAAAGACAGATAAGAAGCAGAATATTAGAATATTGGGTCCTCCTTGGTCAGGGAAGTTCTGTCACATGTGACTTCGGGAGGACTTGTCCAGGACAGAAGAGCTTTCCTAAGTATTCAGAGACTCTCACCCGGCATTGGACAGGCCGCTGCTGACGGAGGGCGATGGTGGAGGGGTGCCGGTGGCCGCTTCTTTGGTCACAGACGTGTTGGTTCCGGGAGAAGAGGAATTCAGGAGTGATGGACCGCAGACAGAAGCCTCATCAGAGTCCACTGCAGAGAGAAGAGAGTCACAGCATGAGAAGATCTGACATGTTCCCCTTCCAGGACATTCTTCTCGTCATTTCTCCTCCGGTGTAATCTCAGATAATGTGCAGTGGCGAGGTCAGCTAAGTGCTCCGTAATGGAAAGCCGGAGGACCGATGAAGGTCTGAGAACATGTGCCTAGGACAGTGAAGGTCTGAGGACATGTGACTAGGGGAGTGAAGGTCTGAGGACATGTGACTAGGGGAGTGAAGGTCTGAGGACATGTGACTAGGGGAGTGAAGGTCTGAGGACATGTGACTAGGGGAGTGAAGGTCTGAGGACATGTGACTAGGGGAGTGAAGGTCTGAGGACATGTGACTAGGGGAGTGAAGGTCTGAGGACATGTGACTAGGGGAGTGAAGGTCTGAGGACATGTGACTAGGGGAGTGAAGGTCTGAGGACATGTGACTAGGGGAGTGAAGGTCTGAGGACATGTGACTAGGGGAGTGAAGGTCTGAGGACATGTGACTAGGGGAGTGAAGGTCTGAGGACATGTGACTAGGGGAGTGAAGGTCTGAGGACATGTGACTAGGGGAGTGAAGGTCTGAGGACATGTGACTAGGGGAGTGAAGGTCTGAGGACATGTGACTAGGGGAGTGAAGGTCTGAGGACATGTGACTAGGGGAGTGAAGGTCTGAGGACATGTGACTAGGGGAGTGAAGGTCTGAGGACATGTGACTAGGGGAGTGAAGGTCTGAGGACATGTGACTAGGGGAGTGAAGGTCTGAGGACATGTGACTAGGGGAGTGAAGGTCTGAGGACATGTGACTAGGGGAGTGAAGGTCTGAGGACATGTGACTAGGGGAGTGAAGGTCTGAGGACATGTGACTAGGGGAGTGAAGGTCTGAGGACATGTGACTAGGGGAGTGAAGGTCTGAGGACATGTGACTAGGGGAGTGAAGGTCTGAGGACATGTGACTAGGGGAGTGAAGGTCTGAGGACATGTGACTAGGGGAGTGAAGGTCTGAGGACATGTGACTAGGGGAGTGAAGGTCTGAGGACATGTGACTAGGGGAGTGAAGGTCTGAGGACATGTGACTAGGGGAGTGAAGGTCTGAGGACATGTGACTAGGGGAGTGAAGGTCTGAGGACATGTGACTAGGGGAGTGAAGGTCTGAGGACATGTGACTAGGGGAGTGAAGGTCTGAGGACATGTGACTAGGGGAGTGAAGGTCTGAGGACATGTGACTAGGGGAGTGAAGGTCTGAGGACATGTGACTAGGGGAGTGAAGGTCTGAGGACATGTGACTAGGGGAGTGAAGGTCTGAGGACATGTGACTAGGGGAGTGAAGGTCTGAGGACATGTGACTAGGGGAGTGAAGGTCTGAGGACATGTGACTAGGGGAGTGAAGGTCTGAGGACATGTGACTAGGGGAGTGAAGGTCTGAGGACATGTGACTAGGGGAGTGAAGGTCTGAGGACATGTGACTAGGGGAGTGAAGGTCTGAGGACATGTGACTAGGGGA